GTGTGTGTGTGTGTGTGTGTGTGTGTGTGTGTGTATATATATATATATATATATATATATATATATATATATATGTATGTGTGTGTGTATATATATATATGTATGTATATATATATTGCAATAGCCTGTTATAAGCAGCTTCCAAAGAGGGTAGTGTTTTAGAGTGGATTCAGATGTAAGCATTCTTTTTACATTTCCTTATTGTTTTTCTATTTTTGGTCATGTAGAACTTTAACATAAAGGCTATGCAATTCATCACTGTTCCTAGTCTATTACAAGGAAAAGAGCTGTATCCTGTTCATGCTAGTGGGCTAATCGTGACAGGATATATTTGGACTTCTACATACTTGTCCCATGTACTTCAGCCTTTCCTCCTTTGCATTCATACCCTCTTCAAGTATTTGGTATGCTTATACATGCATCCTTAAAAAAATTTAACTGAAGTTCCAGAATATCAAATTTCCAAGCATTCAGTACAGCTTGTTGAGTCCTCCTATCATAATATGCTCTGTTTTTGTAATAATGAATGAAGATATGTCACTAATGAGGTTAGCTAAAGCAGATTAATACGTGAAAGAACTGTCCCCCAGCAACAAGGTTCGGACATTATCTGCCAAAACTGATTACTTCTGTTTGTACCTCATTCCCCTCTTCCAAATCAGCATTGTTACACTGACATACAGGATTTTCTTTTAGAATGCTAATTTGAACTGTGTGAAAATTGTTTCTTCTATTCTGAAGTAGGAATCTGAAAGGATACTGTATGGATATTCAATAATCAGATTAACTCAGTTTGCTCAGATAAGGATTTTCATGGTGTGGATCTGATCTTTGAGACAGGAATCTACTTGTGGTAATAACTGGAAGCTTTGGCGTCCTTCAAAACACTTCTAGTCTTAGGGCATGCCATGTATATTTTGATTCAGGCTTTCAGAGCATTAAAAATCATATTCCTGCCTAGATAGATAACTTTCTATCTTCTTCTCAGCTACTGCTGGTTTTTGTTTTTTGTTTTTTTTTTAGATATAGGCGTTCTGCTCATCTTTCTGAATATGCAACAGCAATCTACCCATTTTGTCCAGGAAGCCTACACTCCAGTTATGATCTTCATTATCAACTGTAATTTCAAGAACTGAGAAGCAGTCTATCATTGTTCAGTTCAGCTATACAAAAGGTATCACTTTGAACACAAAAGTAGTCAGACTTCTTTATAGCCACTCTTCATCAAAACAAAGGTGTGTGTAGTTGGTAGCATATATTAGGAGCATGACACAAACTTTCATGCATACACACACACACACACACACACACATATATACAATTCTTTCAATGATATTGTTTAAAAGTTTTGTTTTTTTCTTTCCTCAGGAATGATTTCTGCAAAAAGGTATGAATCAATACGTTTAGTTCAGATTTTTAACCCTTCACAAATGCAGCAAGTTCCTTTCTATTGCAAACAAAAAGCATACGTTTTCCTACAGAAGTAGGAAACTTCCGTAAGACATACAGTTATTATTTATGCATCCAGTATCAAAAATCTAGGAATCAAGCTGAAACCTAGGAATAGTAATCATTTGTCACTACTTCTGGAGCTGCATCAAACAAAAATGTGATAATATTCATGAGCCTAGCATGGGATGAATTGAGAAGAAACCACTAGTGCCTGCTCTGAAAACCAAGGTTAAAAGATAGGAAGTAATGAAATTCACATCTGCCAAGTTGTAATATTTTCAAATCCAAGAATTCTACATTTCTAAAATTCCAAAATTATTATTCCACAACAACTGGAATGTCCAGAAAGGTTTGCTGGGGGGAGTCAAGGTGGAGGGGAATGAAGGGTGAGGAGCCCACTGCTGACATTGAAGCCATGCCAAGCATTTCCTGGAGCAAACTATCCTGGCAAACGTTTGCTCTCAATTTTTCTGCCTAAAAGATCAACAGGTTTGAAAAATGTATGAAAAGGAGATAAAACATAGACTGATGAGTAAAGGGTGATGACTTCATCAGGATACCCTGAAATTATTGTAATGAGTTTGG